AAAAAAGCCTCTCAAAAAAAAAAAAAAAAAAAAAGACAGACCAACCTGGGTTCAAATCCTAGTTTTGGTATTTCCTAACTCTGACCTTGGGCAAGTAACTTAAGCTCCCAGCCTTGATTTCTTCTAGAAAATGGAATGATAACAGTGCCTCGCTGGTCAGGTGGTTTTAAGGTTCAGGTTAAGTCACGTAGGAGAGAGGTGCCTCGCACAGCCCTGGACACGTGGCATGGTGGGGAAGGGAGCCTCAGTATCGGCCATGTGTTGTGCTCAGGCCTGTCGGGCCTCCATCTGCCAGCGCAGACGGCTGGGGAGGACTGCCTTCCTACTGGCACTGAGAGGCGACCAGATGAGGAGCAGGATGAAAGGAAATGCCATTCCCTGTCTCTGGCAATTTCTTACTCATTCAGACTGATGGGTGCCAGCACTCCTGGAGAAGCTGGGCGTGCGGAGTGGCCAGGTGCTGCTGCAGTGGGAATGCTGGGCTGGGAAAGCCCTGGGTTTGCATGCTGGGACTTCTCTGAGCACTCCAGGAGTGTGTGCGCCTATGATCTGGGCCAGCGGAGCCTGGGTGTGGGGGGGGACCATGGCATGAAGACCCTGCTGGGGGGTGCTTTCTCTTTGTTACTCTCATTCTCATGGAAGAAAGAAAGAACCTTTTTAGAAACTGGGTTTGGGAGTCTCAGCTTTGTCCTTCACTTCTGGGGGACATCGCAGGGAGGGGTGCTGGGAGTCCCGAGAGCGACAGGGCAGGGTCAGATGAAAAGCAGCACGCCCAGGGCATCTGCCGGGGGCTGTGAGAACTCACGGTGAGCGCGACGGAGCCCAGCAACAGCACCACGGAATACACCAGACCGCGGCTGTTGATCTTCACCTGGAAAAACAAGACAGACGTACGCTGAGTCTCCGGGCTCTCGGGCCTCCATCCTGAGGCTACTCATTCCCTCATCAGGAAAACACAGGTGAGCCGGGAAGTGTGGATTCCAGCCTGGACTCTGCTCCCCTGGGAGACTGGCCAGGTCAGGGATGGGCACGCTGGCAGGCTGGGTGAAGCATGCTCGAGGACCTCTTACAGGCATGGGCTCCCTCTGCAAATACCCTTCAGGGACACTGGGTGCCAGGGAGAAGAGGTGGCGACCTCCCAGAGCCCTGGGCTGACCCGGGCCAATGCTGCTACCCTTCCCTGTCAGGTCATCCGTCTTGCCTAGCTAGGAGGGGAGAGAAGCCTACCGTGGACCCGTAGTTAATAACCATGGTCTGCAGGCCCCAGGGGATGCCGAGTCCAACCAGGATGTCAAACACGTTGCTTCCTATGGTATTAGAGACCGCCATGTCGCCCAGGCCTGCGGGGACAACCAACACATTTCCTTCATTAAGAGCAGGCAGCCGGAAACCCGAGTGCTCTCATAACTATCCGATCGGTGCTGTTCCTTAGACGGGAATTCCTCTTCACGGGCCCTAATCCCTAAAACTTTCTCAGAGGTTGAAGATCCACTCCCTTCATGAAGTTTCAAAAGGGGCCTGTTAAGGGCTGCACTGTGAACCCTGAAATCCAGATGTTGGAGTTCTGACCCCTAGTACCTCAGAATGTGACCATATTTGGAAACGGGGTGTTTTCAGGGGTGTCAGGTTATGATGAGGTCAATGATCCAGTAGGACTGGTGTCCTTACAAAAAGGAGGAATTGGGGGGCCAGCAGGTGGCATAGTGGTTAAGGTGCTGGACTGCCACATGGTCGACTGTGGTTCCAGTCTTGGATCCTGCAGCTTGAAACTCATGCCAGCACATGCGTGTTAGTGCCCAAAATCACAAGAGGAGACTGGAGGAGAAGGAACTGTGGCATGGTCATCTCCTCGGGGTGGGTGATTTCTCACTTTCTGTCTCTCTCTTTGCCTCTGGCAAGCACACATAAAGGGAGGAATTAGAGCACAGGAAACAGGGAGAGCACTGGGGAAGCGAAGTGGGCCCAGAGGAGAGCTGAGGAGGGGCCTGGATCAGATGCCTCCCTCACGGCTCACAGAATGAACCAACTTTGCTGACATCTCGACCGTGGACTTCTAGCCTCCAGAACTACGACACAATAGGTTTCTGGGATTTTTGGTTTAATTTTTTGCCATTGGGTGCTTGTGCTTGTTGGAGAGGGACAGAGAGAGACAGAGAGGGAAAGCGAGAGATCACCCCCTGGGGGATGGCCATGCTGCGATCCTTCTCCTCCATTCTCTTCTCAGGATTTTGGGCACGAACATGCCCATCAGGTTTTTCACGTTGCTGGTCCAGAACTCGAACCACAGAGTTGGCCCTGTGGGATCTAGTACCTTAACCCCCACGCCACCAGCGGGCCCAGGGTCCTGTTCTTTATGTCACCCAGGCTGTAGTCACAACAGCCACAGTAGACGAATACCGGGCTCTTCCTTATTGCTCTGCCATGTTCATCAGTGGATGTTCCCAAGGGTCCTGTGAGCTTTGCCTCATTAATCCTCCCATTACCTGGGGCGGGGTGTGGGGTACCATCTTCACGAGGGAGACGATAAAATGGAGGCTTGGGACATGCCCAAGGCCACATAGTTGTGAGCGGCCCAGTTTCAGGATGCCTGGTCCAGCATCAGTATGCCACGCCATGGTGCACACTTGTCCCCCAGACACGGCAGCCACCACCCTGACTAGGGCCGTAGAGCAGTGGCCGTATGCCCTGGTCGTTCTGAAGGGTGAACTCTCCAACCAGACTAGGAGCATTTCAGAGCTGGTGGCCACGTCATTGTTCTTCCCTGCCCCACTCCCCTGTCCAACATCATGCTAAACACATGCTCTTCATGCCTGAGGGTTATGACAAATGAGAGTACTCTGATAAGTGAAACTCACGCTGGCTGCCACCTGCCCTAACCTGGCTGCTCAGCCATGTCTGACACGATGTCGTCGCCTGGCACACGCACAGGTGTTTGTGGGATGAACGTGAACACGATCGCCTGGACACGCGATTTTGCTTCAGCGTCTGGACGCATGGCCCATCTCTGCCCACCACCCGTGAGGACAGGGTCCCACATGGGGCAGACACACTCCTCCCTGCTGGCCCTGCTTAGTCCTGGAAGCTTAGTGCTGCTGGGGCGGCATCTCCTCTCAGCGCCCAGCCTCCGCGGCAACTGCTTTAAACCTTACACCTGGGAGGAGACAGGCCCTGACTGGAATCTGCAAACGTGATTTTAGGTGGAAATAAAATCTTCATGGATGTAATCAAATGAAGATAAGGTCATGCTCAATTAGGGCGGGTTCTGACCCAGGGACTTGGGAGTGTCCTTAGAAGAAGACGGAAGCCTGGATACAGAGACACGCAGGGAGGAGAATGTCACGTGAAGATGGAGGCAGAGACAGGAGTGACGTGCTATAGGTCAAGGAATGCCAGCAACCACCGGGAGCTAGGGAGGGGCCAGAGGGGTTCTCTCCTGTGGCCCTCAGAGGGAGCGTGGCCCTGCAGACACCTTGATTCCCAACCTCCAGCCTCCGGAGCTGTGAGATAGTGGGTGGAGTCGCGGTCCTTGTTATGACCGTCCTAGGAGATGAATACACTCACTTCAAAGGTCGCCTGATCCAGTCCCATTCCCTCAGCTGCTGTCCCCGTTCTCCGTAAGGCCCTGCCTTCCCCAAACATACTCTGCACTCCCTTGTCCTCATCGTCTGTTTTCTCACCCACTGGCCAGCCCTTCAACCCTTTCTCCTACCCTGGAGAGACAGGACGTCCTAGGCCTCTTCCCAAAGCTGACCTTTCTCCTTGAGCTCTTCCCTCTTCTCTCTCCCAGGAGATTTCACTACACTTCCGCCCATCCTCCCCCCCCCCCCCCACCATTAGAACACCGCCACGCGCGCAAGCCCCCCGAACTTGCAAGCTCTGAGCTGCGAGAAAGGTCCATGGAAGTCCAGGCTGCAACGCTCTGCCCAGCAGAGGAGCAACAGCTGATCAGGCCAGACTGCGGAGCTCTTTCATCCTGCCCAAGCCTGTCCTTACCTCGTCTAGCCCATGCTCCTTAGCCCCAAATCAAAGCCTCATTCATGTCCTAGAAGTCCAAAAGGAGTGGGAAAGGGCTGGATGTACAGGGGGCGCTCTCTCTGCCTTTCTAGCACCAGCACGCAGCCGGCTCGGTGAAGTCCGAGCGTGGGCTGTGTTCAGCACCACAGTGAGCAGTGATCTCAGAATAGGCTGGTTTCGATACCACTGCTCCGGCGAGGCGGCGGGTAGGCCTGAAGGAGCTCATCTTGGTAGCACGGACTCCATGGATGGGGTAGAACACGTGACGCCATCTGGAGACCACGGTTTTCTCTGCAGCAGGAGTTGACAACTCCCAGTCCTAAGACCCAGAGCAGTGGGGGCCGAGGCGTGGTCCCTACCTTGTCTCGCCACAATTAAGCTGGCCATGCAGTCTGGAACGCTCGTCCCTGCGGCCAGGAAAGTAATGCCCATGATGACATCGGGGATCCCGAATGTGTATCCGATGATAGTCACCTGCAGATAAGGGGACAGGAAGTCACATGGAACAACCCTTGTTCCTGGAAACTGCTTAGCCTGAATATTTTCTTTTTTCATTTAGGTTTTGCCATAGGGCACACACACTAGCCAGAGACAGAGAGAGGAGAGAGAGAGAGAGAGAGAGAGAGAGACAGACAGACAGACAAAGTGTGAAATCAGCCCCAGAAGGATGGCCATGCCACAATCCCTTCCCCTCCACTCTCCTCCTGGAATCTTGGGCACACATGCACAGTGCCTGACATGATTTTTAAGCTGCTAGGTCCAGGACTTGAAACACAGCCAGCCATGTGGGAGTCCAGCACCCCACACCACCTTCTAGCCCCGGCTCAGACATTCTTAACTTGAATATGGTGTTGTAAAGCATACAAAAATCTGGAACATGACTTTATTTTAAGAGCATCTGTTGAGTGTCTTTTTCCTTAATTATATAAGTAATACATATCCACTGTTTAAAATAAAGTTTAGAAAATAAAATGAGTTATTAATTTCTCAAGACCCCATAGACGACTACTATTAACATGTTACATCGGCCAGGGATTCTTGAAGGACTTTTCAGAAATCTGCCACAAGGCTTGTCAAAGTGCAGCCTGCCAGGCCTGCCCTGAGTTTCTGATTCTGGAAGTGAGGCCCGAGAATTCGCACCCTTGAAAAGCTCCCAGGCGGATGGGGTCCTGAGGCTGCCAGTTGGGCACCACATCTGAGGACCACTGCTTTAGAATATATCCTTGACTGGGCTGGTCCATGGCCTAGTGGTTAAGGGAACCAGATCCCACATGGTCAATGGCATGGTTCAAATCCCAGCCCTGGAAGTTTGAAAAACACACTAAGCATGTGTGTGTGCGTGCCAAAAATCCTGACAGGATGGAGACGTGGAGGAGAAGGGATTACAGCGTGACCTTTCCCTGTCGGAGATGCTTTCTCCTTCTGTCTCTCTCCAGTAAGTACGTGTGCCCTCTAGCCAAACTAAAAACAAATGATAGATCTATACCTTTACCTAGCTCCTTGACCTTCTTTCTGGTATGTTAGGAAAAAAATGAAATCAGGGGCTGGCAGGTAACGTGGTGATTTAGGTGCTGAATTCCCACATGGTGGACCACGGTTCGAGTCCCAGACGTGGTGGCTTACTTTCTCACTTTTCCTCTGTCTCTCTGTCTCTATCTGGTGGGTGCGTGTACCCTGTAGCAAATTTAAACATAACACAAAAAGAGTAATTCTTTGAAAAAAAGAAAAAATGAAATCAGATTAGACCATCCACATCTATTTGTAACTATTTCTTGAGATAATACAGTGTGACCACCTTTCCACCTCAATTACCCTGCCACAGCCCATTTGAAAGTGATGCTTAGGTCTCGCTGCATGGCTATGAAGCTTTAGCCAAGCCCGCACTATCGGGTAATCAGGTAGTGTCTATTTTGCGCATGACATCACGGACATGACAAGAGCATTTAGGGAGCACTCACTGTGTACGAGGCACTCTACGCGGCATCTCACTTCTTTTTTTTTTTTTGGAGAGGTTTTTGCTATAGGGCACGTGAGCTTGCCAGAAAGACAGAGAGATACAGAGAGATAGAAAGTGAGAAATCAGCCCTCCCCCCACCCCAGGGGATATGGCCACGCTGCAGTCCCTTTTCCTCCATTTTCCTCTTGGGATCTTGGGCACGCACGCACACGTGCCTGGTGTGAGTTTAAGCCACCAGGTCCGGGACTCGAACTGCAGTCGACTACAACATGGGAGTTCAGTGACATAGCCATTATGCTAATTGCTGGTCCCGGCATCGGCATCTCATTTTCATAATCTCACCTACTCTATTATTTGCCACCCACTGAAGAGGGAGACGCTGCTGTCATGCCATCTAAAGGTCAGAGAGGCAGAGCCACAAAGCCTGCAGGCACACAGCTTGTGAGCTACAGAGCAGGGACTCCAAGCCAAGTGTCTCCAACTCCATAGCCTGCCCTCCAGCCAGTCCCTCACGCTGTCTGTGTGTCTATCTTTGGCTTTTTGTCTGACTACCTCCTCAGGAATAATTTCAACATATAAAACTGCTGGATCAGAGCATACGCATGATTTGATTTTATTTTGCCAGAGGGTGTATATGCGTGTGCTTTCTCTCTCTCTCTCCCTCCCTCTGTCTCTCTCTCTCTCGATAGAGAGAAAGCATCACCCCTTCCTCAATTAGGGCATAACCACATTGCAGCCTCTCTTGCATTTCTCCGTCCTGTTGAGAGGGGCATGCAAGCAATGAGTCTGGTGTGTTTTTCAAGTCACTGGGGCCAATATCTGAACTGTGTGGTTGCTCATGTGGAATCCAGCTCTTTTACCACTAGGCCACAGGTTGGCCCGGGTAGGTAGGCTCTTAAGGATCCTGACACACATTCACATATTCTGCAAATAAACGACTGACACTTGAGAGATGGTTGGAGTCCAGAGTAGCAGCCAGGTGGAAAGTTCTAGAAGCATTTGAATCAATCCATTCAAAATGCCCTCTGTTTTGGCTTATCTCTCCATCTAGAAAACAGGGACGGGGCACTCGTTAGGGTTGTGCACATCTTGGCTAGTGGTTTCAGTCTTAGCAAAGGGCTGTGTGACTTTGAATAAGCTGGTCCGCCTCTCTGAGCCCCAGATCCCTCTGAACAATGGACTTGTTAATAAGGACTAAACAAGAAAATGTAAGGTGACAGTGCCTGGACTGTGCCAGATACTCTTAGCTTCTCCTTAGTTTCCTTAGTTATCCCTCCTCTTCCCATCACTTGTGTGTCCTCTGCAGGGGCAGAGAAAATGAGGGTGATCAGATTCAAAGGGCTCTGGGAGCCCTGGATGAAATGTGCTTTCAAAGTGCAAAGCTCAGCCTTGGCCTATAGCCATGTGGACTACAGCGTCTCCGTATTAGGAAGAAGTTTTCAAAGAAGTTTGAAGATCCTCCCCCCTAAGAGAATGCTCAATCCAGCATTAGCAGGTTCATCTCTCCTGTTCTGGGATGGAGAAGGCAGCTCCGTGTTCTCAGACCACAATGCACTGGTGAGATTTCCATGGGTCATACAGAGAGGGAAACCCATGGGAGGACCTGGAAAAACAACTGGTCTACCCATGCTTAAAACACACTGCTTGCCAAAGGCAGAGGGGCCTCTATGAGCAAACCAGGCTTAGCTGACACACTTCTTTCTTTTCTTTTCTTTTTTTTTTTTGAGAGGTTTCTGCTATAGGGTGTGTGCGCTCACCAGAAAGACAGAGAGAGACAGAGAGACAGAAAGTGAGAAATCACCCCCCAGGGGGATGGACACGCCGCAATCCCTTCTCCTCTATTCTCCTCTCAGGATCTTGGGCACGCACGCACAGCATGAGTTCAAGCCACCGAGTCTGGGACTCGAACCACGGTCAAATACATGTGAGTCCAGTGACATAGCCATTACGCTAACTGCTGGTCCTTGGCTGACACACTTCTAACAGCAATGTCAGACATCATAGTTGCAGGAAGCTGGGTTATCTAGGAATTACTGGGCTACTCCCATTCTTTTAAATACTGAACTATGGCCAAGAAGTCAGAGGATAGAAGGAAGGAAGGAAGGACGGTTTTGTGTGTATGCACACACCACCCAGGATGTTCAGGATCAGGGACACCCCCTCTTGCTTAGGTAGAATTCAAGGCTGATACAGGCACTGTCTCCTTTAAAGATGTCTACTGTAAGGCTGGTCTATACCCCCCACACTGAGGCTGTCTGACATTCAAAATCACAGGTAATAGTGTCCAGTAATGTGGTTCCCGTGACCCAGGCCAGGCCATCTGCTGCAGCTCTGGTCCATGGCGCAGGCGGGGGTTAAGTCAAAGTGGTGAGGATGCAGTGTTACTACATGTCCTACCTCCCTGCTAATTAGCAGAATTGATGTAACACTACCATATTTTCTGTAGAGAGAAAAAAAAACTTCATATATTCGTGCATTTTATCTTCCTAATTCTCAAATCCACGCAGATGTCATTGAATTTTTTTTTCACTTGTAATTTTTTTTTAAAAGAGAATTTTGCTTTAGGACACATGCACTCGCAGGAGACAGAGAGACAGACAGTGAGAGGGAAAGTGAGAAATTATCCCCTGGGGGGATGGCCACGCCACAATCCCTTCTCCATTCTCCTCCTGGGGCCTTTGGATGCATGTGCACGCACATGTGTGCGCGCGCACGCACACACACACACACACACACACACACACACACACGTGCCTGGAGTGAGCTTCAAGCTACCAGGTCCAGGACTCAAAGGGCAGGGGACCAGCAGTTAGCGTAAGGGCTATGTCACTGGACTCCCATGTAGCTGACCGCGGTTCGAATCTCAGACCTGGTGGCTGAAACTCACACCAGGCGCATGTGTGTGCATGCCCAAGATCCCGAGAGGAGAATGGAGGAGAAGGGATTGCAGCATGGCTATCCCCTCTGTGGGGTGATTTCTCGCTTTCTGTCTTTCTGTCTCTCTGTCTCTCTCTGTCTTTCTGGCGAGCGCACACGCCCAATAAAAAGAAAAAAAACAAACCTCTCCAAAAAAATAAAAAAATAAAAAGGGCAGTTGGCCATGTGCAAGTCCAGCGACATAACCACTACGCCATCTGCTGGTCCCCACCTGTAATGTTATAAGAATGCAATTTAGTAAAAGAAATCATTGTGTCCTTTTCTTTTTCTTTTTTCTTTTTTTGGAGAGATTTTCGCTATAGGGTGCGTGCGCTCGCCAGACAGACAGAGAGAGACATAGAGACAGAAAGCGAGAAATCACTCCCCGGGGGGATGGTCATGCCACAATCCCTTCTCCTCCATTCTCCTCTTGGGATCTTGGGCATGCACGCACACGCGCCGGGCGTGAGTTCCAAGCCACCGGGTCCGGGACGCGAACCACGGTCGACTATGTGGGAGTCCATCGACATAGCCATTACACCAACTGCTGGTTCCCTCCTTTTATTTAAAATGTAAACAGAGGATGGCTTTTAATTCTATTCAGAAAAACTTACATTTGCAAATACAGTTCATTTAAGGCACATTTATTATCTGTGATTGTTATCCTTTCCTGGAGAATTTGGATAAGTAGGTATTTCCAGTTCTTCCCCTATTCCCTATACATCCCCCTACCCCTGGCCTGCCCCCATCAAGCTTCTATATGGATTTTAATCTCAGGAGCAAAGCACAGAAGCAGCCTGACTACATCTCAGGGGGGAAATGGCTAATGTTTATAGTCGTGAGTAACCAGCCATGCCATATACTGAGGTCAGGACGCCTGAGCAAGGCATTGCATAAAGACTGGGCCGACAACTCCTGGCTGGTTTTGAGAACGCCAAACCAAACCTGCTTTGGGACAGGGGTGGGTACAGAAAGGAGAGGATTAGGAGGGTCAGTAGGGCCCTAAGGGATTCAGATGTTTGAGCATCCTATCAGCTAAACCAAGACCTGGTGTTTCAGATGGATGTGCCTGGAATGGAGCAGGGGCTGGGGCGCAGTGCCTAAAGAGCTTCTGCCTCTCCTGAGGTTTATAACTTGTCCCATTAATTTTCTATTTTCTTTCTTCCTTCCTTCCTTCCTTCCTTCCTTCCTTCCTTCTTTCCTTCCTTCCTTCCTTCCTTCCTTTGAGAGAGAGATTTTCACTATAGGGTGCTTGCACTCACCAGAGAGATAGAAAGTGAGAAATCACCCACCGGGGGGATGACCACGCCATCTCCATTCTCCTCTTGGGATTTTGGGCACGCACACACACAGGCTCAGCGTAAGTTTCAAGCCACCGGGCCTGGGACTCGAGCCACAGTCAACTATGTGGGAATCCAGTGACGTAACCATTACACCATCTGCTGGTCCTGACTTGTTCCATTTATTAAAAAATAACCCGAGTCAGTCCTAAGAGTCTTTTGGGACTCAGAGTTCTAAGGGGGTTCTAAGAGAAAGGGGGGGAACAGATTGGAGCGGTGTCTTCTACCAGCTGGTGCCTTGGGAAGGTTCCGCCACAGGAACAGAAAGGCGGAGCAGGATGAGAGGTTGAAGGACCCTTATGATGATGGCTGCGCTCATGGACTCAGAGACGGATACCTGGGTTCCAATCCTAACTCCAGCACTCACTCACTGTGCAACCACGGGCAAATTACTCGCTCGCTCCATGCCTCAGTTTCTCTAGCTATAAAAGGGGATGGTAATACCTATCCCCTGGGGTTGTCATGAGGAGAAGAGTTTACATAGAGAGCTTAAGTCAGCGCCCGGCACACAGAAAGCAGAGGAGCACCCTTTGGGAGAGTGGAAAGAGCCGCCTATCCTCCTCATCATCTCCCGATTCCAGTCTATTCTTTTGCGTTCTCCTGAGAGCCTAGAAGTGAAGGGGCCCTTGGGACAAGCCATCCCTGTCACTGGCCCTGTTCATTCCATCCCAACATGCCTCAGGCTCCCTGGGTGAAGGCTCACTTCCCTCCCTCGTGTTGGCAGGCAAGAATTATGCCATATCTCAGATCCCCGGCACGCAGTGTGGTGGCAGCACCTTTGTCAAACCCCTTCTTCTTCTTCTTCTTTTTTTTATAAGAGAGATTTTTGCTACAGGGTGCATGTGCTCACTGGAGAGAAAAAGAGAGAGAGAGAGAGAGAGACAGAAAGCAAGAAATCACTCCCCAGGGAAGATGGCCACATCCCAATCCATTCTCCTCTTGGGACCTTGGGCACACACGCACACAAGCCTGGTATGAGTTTCAAGCTGCCGGGTCTGGGGCTTGAACCGCGGGAGCAAGGTAACCATTACACCATCTGCTGGTCCCTGTTGAAACCCCTTCTATTGAGAAATAAGTAGCAGTCACTAAGGTCAGTGGGGTGCCCTTAACCCAGCTCTCCCTTCTCCACTTGCAGAGGCTGGGCAGGGGCTGCTAGCCCACTAACTCCTTCTCCCGCCC